AAGAAATTACTAATAATCTATTGCGTCATATTACTTTATTGACATTTTTTTGTTCTTAGTAATAGTAAAAAGTTACATGTCGGTTGATATTCTTAATAGGATTAAAACTTTGTTAACTTGATTAGCTTTAACGAAGTAACATACAATTGCGGGTGATAATCCAATTCTGAAAAGTTGACGTTGTTACCAGATAAACGGATAAGAGTAATGAAAACGTGTTGAATGATGAAATCGTACAGCCTTTCCATACTCGCGGTGTGCGTGACTGTTCACTTCGCAATGTAATCATTCGTCGCGCCGGACCTCGCCTTAACGAGAAAACCTCTTAAGAAACCTTTATGTTTTGAGATTTCGACGAATTGACATATCGCAACTCGAATCCCACTCACTTTGTTCCACTTCGCTGTTGAGGTGTTCAAAGAAATATTGAGTAAGGTAAAGATAAGCGCCTTATATTACATTAAATTATTTTTTAAAAAGCAACGGGACGACCGCAAATCTTTGGTTCCACAAATTGAAGCTTTCCCCGAGGGTAAATCAATACTTAAATATCAGCCCTAATAGGCGTAGGCGTGTAAATAGAACAAGGTTACTTTTGTGTTTAATCGTAATTTATAATCCTGAAGCTATTAATTATGATTACAAAGTTATAATGAAATTCTTATTTTCTAGTATTACATAATATCTGTCAAGTAACTTAAGTAATTAATCAACTAGAAACTTACGTGTGATGTAAACTTAATATACAACAGCATCTCGACTCTAGCGATTCTCATTAGCATGATTAAAATTACGACATAACGCTCGTATCTTTATGCGAGCTATTAATTATCTGTGCCTAGATCCCGCGCTTCCTGTCACGTGCGACATCTCTTGCGGTTTGACATAATTATGGCGCGGAAGCGCGATGTTTTTTTGTAACCATAGACTATAATAAGATTTTTTTGCCAACATGAAAAATTTACGTACGAAACGTTCTTAAAAATTATATTTCAAACTAAAGCTAGTTTATTGTGTTATGGAACAGGTCATTAAATATTTTTATTTTTATTTTCTTGATGTTCCATAAAATATGAAAATTATAAATGGAACCCGGACACCGCGTGTTATTTCATATCAACACAAATACTATGAACTGAACAGTTAATCTTATCAGTTAATATCATAATCGGGCAATCATTTCGAGGAATGGTATTATTCATTATGGCTGTAACAAATTCCAAATAATTCCTCCTCTTTAATCTTTAGTCTTAGTAAAACAAAGTTGATACACCTTTTCTATTAACTAAGACTGTTCAGCCCACGTTTCATTGAAATGTGAATTGTAAATAACATAGAAATAACGACAAAAGCTATTCTGAGAAAGATATCGTCACTGAGCTGAGAATTTCAAGAAAACGCCTTAGTAACGATACAAAGTAAAGGCGCAAGGTCCCACTATTATATTGTGTAGGTGTGTATTTCCTTTGCAGGAATAACTACGGCTTCATTTCACTCTATTTTATATAAAGTATCATTGTATGTTGAGATATTTTTCTATTCAAGGATTAAATAAGAATAGGTCTTTTATTTACTATTTACTTCAGCGAATCCAAACAATTTATTTACGACGAATGTATTCTTATGTTTAAGCTACTTTTGTATTCAAAATATAAGTATAAATATACACATTTTTTTTAAATTTCTTTTGCAACTGTAGCCAAATCTATTATCGGTTATTTAAAATTTTAGGGGCAATTAAAAACGAATCCATTGTAATGAAACCGTGCACATAAATCGATTAATTTGCGATTAGTTGTAAAACGAAATGGGCACAAGGCAATTAATACATATGAAACCGCGGCCATGTTTTTTTGCTGTTGTATATTTCGCGACCGGTTCAACCACCGCGGATCAACGCTGTCTTGTTTACTGCAAGTTTTTCCTAGAACAACTTATTATGGCACAAACCATAGACATCAAGGATGATCGCCTATGGATTATGAAATGAGTATTGTTTTATTAATTTGGTAGTAATTGCGTCATATCATCAAAAGGCGGGAATGACGACTTAAATTTATTTTATGGCACAGACTAAAAATATGAGTAATGTCTATTTTAATACCTGTGTTATTGAGAGTGTTATTTTAAAATCTTATATACGTTTATATGTACGCGATATTAATAAATACCAAGGTAATGTTAGCAGTGGTAATATTTAGGTATTTGCAAACTAGGCCAGGCATTATATCACTAGTGCAGACAGTAAACATTTAGTCCGCTTTCCAACACGCGCCGACGCAAAACGGACATAGAAAATATTGGAATGAATTCTGCGAATATGTTTATAACAGCTTCGACCCTCCCGTTAAATGAAGAAGTACTGAGAACAACGGTATCTCAATGTCGTATTGAAATCGGAGTGTGCCACCTTCCGCGAATTGTGAGATGACCTCCTAAATTGTTTTTAATAACTGACCGCATCCAACCTATTATTGAGAGGGAAATTATTTTTTTTTATAAAAGTAACGGTCATCGTAATCTTATATATAAAATTCCTGTGTCACAATTTGCGTTCCCATACTCCTCCGAAACTGCTTGACCGATTCTCATGAAATTTTGTGGGCATATTGAGTAAGTCTGAGAATCGGCCAACATCTATTATTAATCCCGAGCGGACGGATTCGCGGGCGACAGCTAGTATAATATAAATCTCTTTCAAACGATCAAGACGAATTCTGTCGAACTTTGTAGCATTTTACACAAATGTCGAGAAGCTATAATTTTACACGTTATAGAAGATTTATTATTTACACTAAACCGGTGGCAAATAAAAATACAAAAATAAATCTTATGTTACACGCAGCTGCGTAAGTAGTACCAAAAAGTGACGGCAGATGTTCGCCTGTGAAAGCGACGCGGGCGCAGGTACGGGATTCCGAGAACGCCAAATATAATCGCACTACGTGGAACACGCTCTCTATGGCCCGTTCGAAATTCGAATGCGCCTTTTTTCTATGTGTGCGTAAATTTAAAGGAAAAAAATGATATCGAAGTGATATCGATTTTAATCTTAAAAACGATGACGTAACGAAAGGATTAAAGCGATTTTCACTTTATTGCCTGATTGCAAGCTACTGTATTGTGTAATTATATCAGAAAACATTAATTAGGTATTCCGTAACCATGATTTAGTATTCCAATAATGTTTCTGTTACTCCTGTCACCTTATCAGATTTTTCAGAAATTCAATTAATAAATGATGTTTTTGATATACACTTAAGGTACTTCTTGGTAAAATAATAAAATATTTAATGGTTCTGCAAACTGTCCGTAAATAGCGGCTATGGCACATGTTTAACTGTAGTATTTAAACTTCTATAATAGGGTCACGCACATTTTTTGATGTTTTACTTTTTAGCTCCAAAGTTTCATAAATAATAAACCATTTTGTTTCCGAGTAATTTAATACACAAATCAATATCCTCGAAGCCTGAAAATCCTAAGCATAGTTTATAGATCAAAATATGACATAGTTGCGACAAAATGATATCATTACGCGAAAATATGATTCCAATATTTAGATAACTCAACAAAATTGCTAGTTAATTGTTATTAGTGGTAGTGAATGAATTCTTGGAAGCCAGTAAACGTTCCGTTTCATTCGTATCACTTCTCCTGCCTGAAGGTCCCCCTCTATTTAGAATTTAGCTCGCGTATTGTATTGTAGTTTTGTAGTGAGGCTCGAACGAAGTGCTTGTAGTTTCCTTCCACTTTGCAATCGGCCACTCGAGCAGTCGAGTCTGCGCGCGTCGCAAGCGCGGTCATTCCGTCCGTATTATTATTCGCTGGAAGCGTTCATATTTATTATCATTTATTCATATTATTTTTTATGGTAAATAAAAGTGCCTGTATTAAATTAAAAATAAGAGAACGTAAAGTAAATTACGACAAGGGTTTTAGAACTTTAATAAGTTGGATATTAAAGTGAAATCAAGAAGTTTTTTGTGCCTATCATAAGGATTTGTTAAATTTTGTGTTAAATAGTGGCCAAGAAAGGTGTAAGTGGATGATAAAGTTGGAAAACAACCGGCTTGTGAACGTCAAATGTGTTTGTTTGAGAGGCAAGTGGCGCCCGCTTGTCCTCTAAATATGACTTTAACAGCGAGGTTATCTCCCCAAAGTGAGTGAAATATAAATGGAATAATAATTACGCTACAGTTTTAAGTATACTTCAAACCTATTACGAATTCCGGTAATGGTTATGTACTGCTTAAATATACATGTTTTAGGTTATAATTATGGTGTTTTGTTTACAATACATACTTACGTTACAATAACTTAATTTTTGTAGAATAGTTTTTTGCGGTCTGTACACATTTCCAATTACATAAAATTAAAAAATAAAATTCTTAATTACTTAACCGTCTTTCTTCTTTTTTTCAAGAAATGAAATAAAATTCAAAAACATTGAAGTGGGAAGTACAATGTTTACATGTTTAGATCTCTTGAAATCTAGTAACCTTGATATTATTGATATGAATTTGGTTTAAGAAATATAAATTTACTATTTCCTTAATATGATAAAACCGATATTTCTTATCATTTATTTAAGAATTTAAACATGATTTGAAAACTATATGTGTGGAATATCATAAAGTATCAATTTAAATATGCAAAACAGGAAGTAACATTTAGTTCATTATCATAAGATAAAAATTATAAATCCATTTCCATTAGCTTTAGTATAATTGAAGACTATTAAGTTTAAAAGCTAAAATGTGTATATAACAATTTTGCTTCAATTAATGTTATATAGGAATTACTATTAATCAATTAACAAAAATAAATTTATCTATATAATTATTCTGTCATTTCATCCATCACATTGTTCTGTCCCAGTTCAAAATAGTCATGACTAGACCTTACTAATTGTTCTACAGGAAAGTTAGTAGTTTCTAGTTGTTTAGATTCTTGGGAGTTCTATACAGTTGTCTTATGAAACTGTTTCTTCTTTACAGATGCATGTGTGGAAGTGGGGGTGCCTCTCAACAACTGGTCCAGTGGCGTAGCTTGCTGTCCAAACTGCAGGCATGAGCTGCGAGTGTCCCTGACACCATGCAGCGGGAAGACACATGCCCAACCCCAGACACCTGTTACCCCACCCTTCACAATACACCCTCCGTACTTGCCACAATCTCCATTATACACAACCCCATCCTCACCTTTCATACCTTCACCATACAATGATGAGTTGAGACGGCTAGCAGATACTTTGAGAGCATTAAGGCTCTCAGGGTGGTACTATGGAAATTTAGACTGGCAGGTGTGTATTTTTATTGAGTTAATTAGTTAATTCTCCTAACTTAAACTGATCAACTGAATGCGATTAAATACGCGGCATTTGTGGAGTAGCAAAAAGTCATGACCCACCTATATTACCCCCCTACTTAATATGCCTGGTTTACTTTATGCATATAACTGGCATAAGAAAACACTTTATATTACATCCATATTATACAGAAGACATTAAGATTAAGATATCATTTTTAAATTTAAAAATGTCTTTATTAATTATTTTTTTCTCTTTACAGGGTGCCCGAAGTTTATTAAAAGATGCCAGTGTTGGTGCTTTTGTTATAAGAGACTCGGGTGACAGGAATTTCATATTCTCACTATCAGTACAAACAGAAAGAGGTCCTACTTCTGTGAGGTTACATTTTGAAGATGGATTTTTTAGGTAAGAATATTTCAGAAAAATTAATTTGTAAATTATCAACTCCATAAACAGATTATTTCTTTTTTCTTTATTATGTACTGAAAATAGAATTAATTATTATGCTATTAAAAACAAGTTTTATTTTGTATTGATATAAATTACAGTTAAATATCAATTAGCAAGTTACCAAATAGGAAGAATTGTTTTCCTGTAATGAATTACTTCATAATTCCGTTTAATGTCTTTTGTAACTGTACTTAAACTGAGTCAGCATTAGTCATTACTACAACATTATAAGAACAATGTTTACAATTTACCTATTGTGATGTAAAATCAAGGAAGATAAAGGGTGTCCATTTTTAGACAATATCAAAAAGAATGATGTTCAAAGAGATTCATCTATATTTAAAAAAAATGCAATTTGTTGTTATTGATCATACACTGTAATGTAGCAGTAATTGACAAAATTAAAGTTTTTAGGGTTCCATACCTTGAAAGAAAAAAGAACCCTTATAGGATCACTTTGTTGTCCGTCCATCTGTGTCAAGACCCCATTATAACAGCATTTTAGTTACTTTCTGTTAATATAAATGAATCAATCATTTCATGCGTAAAAAGCAGAATTGTAAATTAGCAATTTAAGTCTTGTTTTAGTACATTTTCTATATGAAGTACTAATTTGACTCTTTCCATCATTACAGATTAGACTGCGACAGACCATTAGCGAGGTATATGCCGAGATTTCGATGTGTGGTAGAACTAGTACAACATTATGCGAGAGTCGGGGAACGAGGTGCAGCGGGCACAGTGTGGGTAGACAGAGAAGGTTGTACACATTCACCAGTCCTACTCAAAACACCATTACGAAAGAACCCACCATCATTACTCCATGCTGCCAGACTTGCAGTACACAAAGCATTGTCTAACCCACTAAGACCTAAAATATGGTGCGCACCAAAACACAGGCTGTTGCCTCTCCCCTCAACTTTAATAGACTATCTCGGAGAATATCCGTACTCAATCTAATATTTGGATCTGTGTTAATTTAGAACTCATTTAATGCGTACCTCTTGTCTGTTGGTTTGTACATTATAAAGTCAGATCAGTTCATAATATATTTTAAATCTTTCTTGGGAGAATATGGTACAAAAAACTGCCGAATGTTATGCATTTATATTATTTCATTGCCATTTATAATTATTTGGCACAGCATTGGCTTTTTAAATATATTCATAAATATTTAAATGTAACCTAACGAAGATAATAAAAAACCTAGCTTGGGAACTAATTACTAATTTTATCACATCATTTTCAGTGTAAAGAAATTGTTTCTATATTATTCCGCAATATGGCGAGGTTTTTTATATTATTGGTTGTGCTATATTAAGTTATAAAAAGATTTAAAATTGAACAATCATAATCCCAAGACAGTGTCAAACAGTTTGTACAAATGATTGTGTCATGTCATAGGGCAGGCTCCTTTATTACCATAAATGTTATAAATAAAAACTTGTGTATTACTCATAAGTATTGAATAATGGGACTCAAATATGGTATTTAGTGAAAATGTTTATTGCAATGATTTTTTTTTAATTTCTCTATGTATATAAGATGTTTTGATAATGCAAGACTGAAATCCAAGAGCCGCTATGTAATAATTATAATTTGATAGTGCATTATGTATGTTTGTTAACGGTGACCAACACCAGCTATGTTTGATTTAGTTAATTGTTCACTAATGCCTAATCTTGTCCGTAATATTAAGATATCATCACACTATTTTGTAAAGATTTTTATTTTATTTATTTATTTCCTTACTAATAATTAGGGTAATCAATGGTTCACTTATCATAAAATTTTGTTCCTATCTAATTTCTTATTAAGTTTAGTATTAATTAATAATCAAAATATGTAAACGGCAAGAATCTGTAAGAAAAGTCAAAATACTTTCACACATACGATATAGTTTTGTGCCATTATAGACAAAATAAACATTCTCCCTTACAAGTATTTATGCAATGGTCATATTTTTGAGGCTGAAAATGTAAATAGTTCTTGTTTTTGTTTTATTATTTATTTTTTTAATTATAATGAAAATAGCTGAATTTAATCTTATCAAAAAAACTTAGTGACAAATTTCACGTTAACCATGTAATGGTTATTTTTCGGTTTAGGTAGAATTTTAGATAAGGTTTTGGCTAGTGATGTTAACTAACGTAGAAATTAAAAATGTACCTTGAATAATCTCAATTAGCATATTACTAGGTCTCACAATAATATATTTTCTATTTTAATAGCCAATTTCACTTTATATAACTATGCTCTATCATAAACATGTATGTAATAAGAATGTAAATTTTATTCTTTGATGGCAATAATCGTCGAATGATTCTTACATTGCTCGACTAATTTATTTTTTTACCATTCAAGGATAAAGCACCAATTGAATAAGTGTGACATAATAGAAAAATGTGTTTAGAAACTTTGTAGAAATAACATATTAAAAAGAACTGCAAATAATTTATACACAAAAAAATAAAAATATACATTATGCCTATAAGCTCATTGTTTCATTGTTAGATACCACTTTTATACAAATCCTTAAACTTATTAAGAGTTTTTAATTTCATCTTACTAATATCAATGTGAAAGTTGAGATGGATGGATGATTTGTTAGAAGGTATCTCCAGAACGGCCTCAACGGATCTTGATGAAATTTAGCATATAAATAATAATCACTATAATATCACTGGTAAAAAGAAGCAGCTGTTACTTTAAAGGCAGCAATAGTATTTATAAAAAATGGGATAGATAGTCAGCTGGTCTTAACAATGTAGTATTGTTAAGACCAGCAATATAGCATTGGTTTTGAATTTGAAAAACTTATTTGTCGATTTAAATAGTTTTATTGCAACTCATCAAAAGATGGCGTTGAAGTTCTTAATTTTAGATGACTTATTTGCCAGCGCAATAGACTTTACAAGCGTATAGAAAAGATATAATTACTCCGCTAGATGACACAGAGACCCAAAATTAGTCTTAATCTTCCATAGAAGAGATATAAGTATTAAAAATGAATGAAATTATTCATGACAAATATAAAAAGAGGTTGCCCAAATCCAAAGGCCGAAAGTTTAAATACGCTTACATAATCACGATTATACCTATTGCTCATTATTTAATCTTCATTCGGATTTCTTCCAGCATTAACAAGACTCAGATGCTTCGGAATATTAATTAAAGATATTGACGAAAAATGTTAAAAATAAAAGTCCTACAATTTTTTTTATCGCAAATCGATTTTAAGATAGCCATAAATCGATACAGAACATTTTGACGGTACAACACTAAAGCCGTTTCAATTGGATTGAGTTTGACATTGCGTTGTTATTGATTTTATTTAGATGTAAGTTGAAGTGGTCATTGCTTTTAATCGGAATAATGAGATTACAACAATTACAGTAAGAAGAATATTTATGTAACATTATTCTGTCGTAAAAGCCATGACAGCAAATGGAAACGGCGCTAATTATGCACCGTTGAAACAAACATTGTCGGATACGGAGTCTGAAGACGATCAAAAAGTGGAAAATGCTGTTCGTATTAGGGCAACGGATAGCTGCAATAACTTGGAATACAATAGTGGCTTACAATCTTCCAAAAATTATAGTACCAGCGATATGGACGACTTAAATACCAACGCAAACACATTGGAGAGTACAATGGACAACGTAAGTTTTCTTCAATCAGATGCCTCTAATAAAATGTCTTTGCCTCGCCGCTGTGCGTTTGTGGCATCAATATTCATGTGCATCTTTACAGTTGTAATATTTTTATGGGGAATTCCTTGTTCGAATGTTGGGAACTGTCCAAATAAGCAATGGCATGATAAATCTGCTGGCTGGGAGTTACCTTATTACGATTTAGAGCTGTCTGGCGCAATTCAAGTTGTTAATGGTGCTATACCAAAAACAAAGAATTTAATATTCATCTACCGAGGCAACCATATGAAGCATGAAGGATTTAATAACAATGACAATGTTAATGGAGTATTACTTATCGTTGGCAATACTGGAGAGGTTGGATGGTTCACTAGAGAAAAAAGAATACCAACACAAATAAATTGTAATTTAATTGATGTGAACAAAGATAGACAAAAAGATTGTTTAGTGGTTGGCACTGAGGGTTTGTTAGCAACATTGAATGCTCTCTCCGGAACGCATTATTGGCATGTCAATAAAAATGGAAATGTCTCCACTGATATAGCTGCAATTGACTTTCCTCTTATTGTAAATGATACAGACAGTGATGGAGTTTTAGATTTGTTAACAATAGGTACAGTCTATCCAAATACGAACCACAATGAACTACTGCTGATTTCTGGTGCCAATGGGAACATTATTGGTGGGCCATTGGTTATACCAGAATGCACATCTGTTAAGCTATTACCGGAAGCAACTTTCATAACATATCTGTGTAAAAATGGGCCAGCTGAAGCTGTAAGACAAATATTGTATCCACATTTACTTAAAAAATTATCAGCAAATCATGGTAGTGAAGTACCATTACCAAAAAAAGCAAATTTAAGCTTAAAAAAGAATATAGGCAACACTAGAACAGAATATAGTAATGGACCGGGAAAACTTATAGTTGAGAATGAAGGGGAATGTCCAAACTCCTGCAGAGTGAACCTGACTCTGGTGTTAGAACAAAATGGATCCAACAATGTTACTTGGGAATACACCGCAAACCACGTGTTTGCTATGGCCCCAAGTTCATTTTCTTTCCCGAACTCAATACGAGGTTTTGTAATAAAATTATGACAGTGGAATAGTGCCCATTTGGCAAATGGTGCACGCAAAGTCGATGAAGTAAGATACAATATACAAAACCAAAGCCCAAAGAATGTTTTTTACTATCGCCCAATGATAAATGTCGCATCACTCTCTTCGTTTATAAAGTATACTAACTTTACGGCTCATGATATATCCGAGAGAATTGTACTGGTATCATTTGATAAGAAACAGATTCATAATGTAAATGTGAGCCAGACAGACATAATACAGATTTGCGTTCGTGAGTCTATGAACAACATGCCAATACCATTGTGTCAACCGGATCTTGAATATCAGGAGCAATCATTGAAGATTGCCGACTTGGATGGTGACAGATCAAACGAAATTATTTCATATTACAGTACATTCATAGCACCAGAGTCATACACACCAAAGAACTCTAATCCTTACGATAATTGGGAATTAACTTCTGTTGTACGAGTTATACGTTTGGAGTCTGAATTGCCAAAGTTATTTATGACAGAACATTAATCTGTGCTATTTTATAGGAAAGAATCTGTCGAGCATGGTACATATTTGTTAAATGTTTATAGATAAATAATTATTATTATTGCCATTCATGACAATGTTGCCGTTTTAAGCTTGCCATAGATATTAGAATAGTTAGTGATAATTGTTTTAAAAACATCTTAATAAAGATTGTGCAAAATCTGTTCTATAATATTGTTAATACTATTATACAATTCTTAAATTTCTACTTAAATTGATACCAAAGATAATTATGAGTTACTTAAATGTTTTAAAATATTATCATTTTAGTTTAATCCACTTTCATTTTATGTGGGTTTAATTTGAACATTTTAGCATGATATTTCTAACCATTCCATTCCAGGTCATCTCTAATCATAATTTTTTATTTATAAATAGAATTACATTAAGTAAGTTATTTCCCCTAGTTCTTATCTTCACATATTATTCATATCATAAAATAAGTTAACACTTGGTTGTCCTGAAATGCTTTGGTGAAATCTTTTGAAGCCTATTTATAGTAGTTACTTATGTGTGTTACCATATAAAGTTCAATGCTGGCATTACATTGAGGTATTATGTTACGCTGATCTACCTAACAATCAAATGGCCCAATGAGTTTTTTCTTCCATTTGGCCATTGTCACAAACTGATCAGGAGGGTTACACCGCTTTAGCCAAACAGAGGGCTATAGTAAAAAAGAAAAAATGTGACATCTTGTGACAGGCAGTAGTGAAATATTATAATTTAGTTTGATTTACGCTCACCAGGTCAGATATCCTTGTCTGTCTATACCTTACAGTAGGTGTGATTTGCTTGTTATTTCAAAGACAATGTAAGGGATGACGGTATGTAATGTCACATCAGTTGCGTTGCACTGTTACATGTACCTATTCCAACATTGGCATTATTTGTATTAAAAATCTGTGATGTCATAGATATTGAATTTAGTTATTGCGGTGTAGATTTTATTGTGAATCAACTGCATTGAAATTTGACTTGAGACATATTTTCTGTTTTTTTCAAAGAGATTAAAATATGTATCAAAACAAGTGTCACTGCAGTACTTTGTGGATAGTTTAAGTGACATGTTAATATTAGAGTTAGTAACAAAATTGTATTACGATTTGAATCTCTATGGAGTCTGATAAATTATTGTATTTCTAATTGTTTCTTGTATATGCAGAGAATTGGAAATATTTATTAAATCACGTATAAATGCAAACTTAATGCTTTTTATTGCCTAAAATAATGTTTAAGTTAGCCAAGCGGATTTTGTTCCTGGTGTTGACTAAAACCGTAGTTATTCCCGAGTAAAAGGAAGTAATTAAAGAGAAGTTTGCTTGTGTGCAATAGTATACAGTTGACAAATACTTGGGAATTTCAAAGTGACTTGTTTAAAATAAAACAATTTTTTTCATTTTATACAAAATGTATATTTTACAATTTAAATTAAAAAATACAAAACGGAAATATTTTTTTTTTGTCTTGATTTTATGAACATTATTTCTGTACGTTTAATTATACAATTACTTATAACTTGTGTGCACAATTAATAAAGTAAATAAAACAAATTTATTGAAAAATGCTTCCTTTTTTTCGTACAATTTACTTAGAAAGTATTTTGAATGTCGAAACAAATATAATTTTAAAAATTAAGTTTACATTTTCGAACAATTTCATTGATAAAAAATAAGACGCTAAACTGAAAAGTTTATAATCTCTGATAATCAGTTTCTTGTCAGCATCAAACAAAAATAAAAACACAACAGAAAAATAATAAGGTCATAGTAATTACTTTCTACTCATTATAAAATGGAATAAAAGAAAATAAATTGCAGTCATCTTAAAAAAATATAAATTTTGACAGCTGTCAAAAGACTAGTGATGTGACATAACAAAGCAGGAACCAAATTTATTATTATAAATATTTTTTTAGTATCATTCTACTTTGTTCTTCTATTCTTTATTGTTATTATGAACATGGATAAATAACATTGCCACAGCTAAAACACTTATTTAAAACTAGTAGACTTACTTATAACATGAAAGATTAAATATCACTTAGTATACAAATAACAAAAATAACAGGAACAACAATTATTTATGATTGAATTCAAATTATTATATACGAATATAAAATGCTCTGTTAGCGAGTTAATAAATATATAGTACTCACAGAATGTTTATTATATTTTGAATTAATGCATGGTACATATTATCGATAAATAACCGTGTATTAAAGATAATTTGCCACAAAATGACGTAAATACATATGTCAAATTAAATATATACTTATTACTAATAGAGAAAAACATAGCAACTTATAGTTTTATGTTGAGAAAAACTTAATGTTTTTTATTTTTGCATAACTAAGTTGTCCAAAGAGTAATAATAATACGTTTTTTTATATATTTTTCTTAATATTACGAACGTATGACATCTATTAAGATAATGTCGTGTACTTACGAGTTAATGCTGTCTTCTTGTCTATGGTTTAAATATAAATAATTTAGTGTGCTTACGTGTGTGCTTTTTGTCTATGGCTAAATTACAGTTAACGTAATTACGGGCATCGCGACAGTTGTATACATATATATATTGTTTGGCTTTTCAAAGAGAATTCGAGGAATGGTAATATCTGTCTCTACAATCGAAATCCATAGAAAGAGCGACACTAATATCTTGTCTATGGTTGTACTACAGATAATGTAAGGGCCTATAATGTCATCTTGTCTATGGCATGCAGTGTGGTTTACGGGACAACGACACGCTGCTGGGCGGCGCTGTCGTCGCTAATGGCGTATTCTGTGACTTCAACCAGCTTGCTCTCGGCGAGCCGCTCCGCAATACTTTCGCCCTCATTGTCGAACAGCTCTAGAGTCATGCCGTCATAGTCCCGAGAACTGGATAAGAAAAACAACATAGGAAATGTTATTTGCTACATTCTTAAGCTTCTAATAAAGCAACAATTCAGCTAATTTTGGCTTGATTTGTCATAATTATTGTTTGTATTTAGCCGTCATATAAAGGCAAACTTTTATCCTGGCTATGACATGGTTAGATTCCTTTACTGATTCATCACTTTTTCACAACACGTTTAAAGTCGTATAATAAGATTTTATCTTACATAACGCGCGCTGAGATAGTTTTATCCGCGATGAGTGCGCTGAGTAGTGCGCGTGCGTCTGCCCAGTCGCGGCTGAGCTGTGTGCGCGCGCGCACGCCGGCCAGCGCGCACGGCACAGCCTGCGCCGGTAGCGCCCAGTGCCGCGCAGCCAGCTGCCGCACGCCGTCTTCCAGGACCCACGCTGTATTACCGTAGTCAATGTACACCACCTACAATACAACAAAAACTATAACAGTGGTGGGACAAACTGACACTAAATTATATAGCTCAGTAGCGCCCCTCATTAATTAAAATAAAGCTAGATATCTTGTGACTTCATTTAATGGCAATTTTTTTCAACATAAATTAAACTAAAAAGAATCATACTTCAATGTTCTGGTCCACTCTTGTGGAGGAGACGACGCGGGCGCGGTACCACTTCTCGTCTGCCGGGTACAGTGCAGCCACCAGCTCACCCAGCGCTGGCGCCATCTGTGCACAAAACAATACATTACAAATCCATCCTTTGATTAATGCTTTTCATTAAACAATTGTCGCCTGCGACTCCGTCTGCGCGGACCTAAAAATAAAATAGTAGCTATGTGTATGCCAGTATATGTTTTACTTCAATGACATATCAGCGAAATTAATGCACCCGTTCTGTCCTTCTTACAAACATCCATTCTTACATTACATGAAGGGGATAAAACAGTCCAATATTAAAGGGTTGCTTTTATATCTGGTGAATTAAATAAAACTGCATATGTTACCTTGAGAGGTTTGTAAGCCATGCGTGATGCGGGGCTGTTCATGTCGCGGACGAGCGCCTCCAGCGTGCTCGGCGGCAGCACCACGCCGAAACTTGACGCCTCCACTAACATATACATTTAAATACTTCACACATTTCTCCTTTTTATATTTAAAAACCATTTTTGTGCTTTATATTCTTCCAGACTCACATTTAGTACCCGTATGTGGCCGGGTGGACAAAAGTGGAACTAAATCATACAACACAAGCGCCCCCTAGGGGGCTCCAATGTCAGTATGTGGTATAAAATCCCTGTCAGGCTGTAATTTTCTTGTTCCACTTTCTGATATAACTAAGTGAAGTATTGGTTTTTTTTATTTTGAGATAACAAACGAGTAAGAGACCTGCAGTATTTGACATCCACACTTGCAGATGCGTTTCTTACCTAAAATACACTTAAAATATTATCCCTCCATCAAATCTGATTTCCCTTCCCATCTTTTCCTTATAAGAATATGGCAGGAAGAGGAAGATCACTATCATTAGGCCTCCGATAAACACTCATCACACTAAACCTCGGTAATACTTCACGACTGTCTGATGGATGGATGGATGTTGGCTGGTTTCCATCCCCACTAGAATCATATTATAGTATATACCTTTCCGTGTTTCCTGCGGTAACTGAACGTAGAATCGGTCGTAGTGCACCACGTGACACACATAGACCTGGAGCCAGGCGCCCGGTGCTGGAAGTGGCAGCGGCAAGCACTTGCCAGCTACAGCCACGCGGTCCAGCGTCCATCCCTCTGTTACGTGCGCATACGTTACACTTCGACAATTTAAGTTAAGGTGACATATTGTTAGTAATTGATATCTGTGATCGCCCTTTCCCAATTCTTTAAAAGCTGTGCAGAAAGTGACACCTAATGAAAAGTGTGTACCAAAAAGTGTTTTTTCTTAATAGGTTTTATGGCTTGGCTCAATGAAATGTCTTTACGAAGTGTCGAAATACACGTATATAATTTTTTTAACTAATTGTTCGCAATTTCGCTAGCGTAAGATTAAAATAAAAAGTATTGTCAATCCCGCATACATAAGCTACTTTCTATTAAAAGTTCCTTCAAAATCGATCCAGCCGATTGTTATAAGCCACGCAAATATATCACTTTTTGGGTAACCCCCCGAGTTCATTCGTACATACGAAAGCATTTTTTTATTGTAATCTACGTTTTTCTAATGAGTTTTAGTAGTCTAAAGAGATCAAGGACAATGATGTGAGCTTCTAGTCCTTCTCAAAGATTTGAGTTGGATTATTTGCGCTTACAAAAATTCAAATATAGAAAACTAATTGTCACCTGTGACTCCGTCCGCGCGGAATTAAAAAACAATTCATAATTAACTTATGTGTTCTTCCAGACTATGTTCTACATCTATAACAAATTTTAGTGAGATCTATGCAACCTTCAAACAAACATCCATCCATACATTCGCATTTATAATATTAAAGTAAGATTAGTTAAGATTGAAAACATCCTCCACTTCAAATCGATATTGGGACAAACTAAAAAGCATGCAGGTTAGTACCACATCCATGAAACCTCAGTTCAAACATAATAAGCAATTCGCCACAAACACAATAAATAAATATACCAGCATTTAAACATTTTCTTTATTTTTATGACATTTACAAGCGCACACATATATATACAAACATAACATATGTAGGGGGGGAGCTACCCCAAACCCTACCCCCCTTACGCTACACCCATGTATATAGTTTTAGACTTTTTTAATAAAAATACTTTGACGCGAATGACGAGCTTTCATTACAAAGTCAAGTGTCAGAATGATTAGTGAGGGGACATAAACGTCGACATTTTATTAAGACTAGTGTTGCGCCAGTACACCGACAGTGTCGGATTTTCTTACTAACAATAAGTAGATTTAAATTTATATAAGTAAATTCCCAGGAAACCCATATTATGACAAAGTTCTACATCATCATCATCATCAGCTCACTACATGTGACTACGGGTGACTAGGCCTTAGTCAACCATGCTAGCCAAGTGCGGGTTGGTTGACTTCACATATATCTTAAGGGAGTAATTTTTAGCTATGAATGAATAATTGATATAAATAATTAAATATTTTAGTGCATTAGTATACATTTTAAATAATTTTATGTGTTTTAAAATTTGCTTTATGTCGTACCGGGATGTTTAAGAATGTGTTTCTTTGTGCAGCGGGCTCCTTTGAAGCAAGTCTTCTCCGGACCACCCTTGTAATGCTTGCAGATGTCTGCTTCATCCCGGTTGTGGTAACCCTGGAAGATAATTAGATTTTAATATTAGTAATATTATAAATGAGAATATTTATGATGGATGGATGTTTGTTTAAATTCTTGCTGGAATTTTGCAGAGATGTAACATGGTTTGGAAGAACACATAAGACTATTGATTATGTTTTTTTTAATTCCGCGAGAACCGAGACGCGACCGACAACTAGTTTTAAAATAAATAAATTTGCCTGACAATGGGTCTGAGGACATCTTCGTTTAAAAAGATCAAGATATGTTTTATACAGAGAATTTCGTCTTAGAAACCAAAGGCCACTGTGAAAAAAGTGAAAAACAAATCGCTTCACTTTTTTAACGATTGAATAGACATACACACAAAACAAATACATTTGTAAAAAAAAACTCGACTGACTAAATCGCCCTAGAAATACAAATTTCGAAATCGGTTTAGTCACTTGGACTAATCAGAATGGAGTCTTATTTGAGTCAGTTGCGTAAAAATATAAAAATAACTAAAAATAATAAATACCGTGACAGCTTCAACTGGGTCTTCAAACTCTGGGCAGTCATTGATGTCACACTCCGGGTCCACCAGCTCCGGGGGACCTCTCTCTATCTTCACCTCTGACGATGACTTCTCCTCTACTACTGTTTAAAGAAATTCTCATAAGAACATAATGGAATACATGTAATTGGCTAATATAATGTTAATTGAAAATAAGAACGGTGACGTCAATCTGCAATTTGCAAAAAAAGTGCTAATTTTTTTTATTATCTTACTAATATTATAAATGCGAATGTTTAGATGGATGGATGGATTGATGTTTGTTTGAAGGTATCTTGAGAACGGCTGTATGGATCCCGCTGAAATTTGGCATACTAGTAGAATATATTCTGGAAGAACACATAAGCTACTTATTAAGTTTTATTTAATTCCGGACAGACGGAGTCGCAGGGAACAGCTAGTAATAAATAAGATGAATTACTTTCGTAAGCCAATCCTTGATCGATCAGAAGATTATTGAGGAAAGTGCCCGAAGGCAACATCCTCACAAACACACCCAGTGCCTCCGATGAACTGAAAACAAATTCATTATATTACATTGAGTTTCCACTGCCGAAACACTTACAATACAATATTATTGTCTCTTTTATTTTTAAAGAGAAATAGAGAGACGAAATCAGAGTTTCCATACTCACTTGTCATCAACAATAATGATGCAATGTTTGTTGATAAACTGCTTGAGTACGCTTTCCAACTTATCTATGTAGTCCTTGTCATTACAAACCAAGAATTCAATCTGAAAAAAAAAAGAAAAAAATATATATGAGCAAGATATTCAGTATTCAATGCAGAATCTTACTAATATTATAAATACGAATGTTTAGGTGGATGTATGGTAGAAGGTATCTCCAGAACGGCTGTATGGATCTTGCTGAAATTTGGCATTTACTAATTAAGTTTTATAAATCAACGCGGACGGTATCGCGGGCGAAAGCTAGTCTTAAATAAATAAGAGTCAGAGGAATGTTGACACCAAACAATTCCCTTCACCTACTTAATTTTAGGATAGGGTTGATGTGAAGTGGGAAAAAGAGACTTTGTTCCTACTCACCCCAGCAAGATAGCAGCAACGTGCAAATGGTGGGTATTTGCAGAACTTCTGGGGCAGCGGCTGCACATTCACCAGTGAGGATACGAGGACCTCGCCGGTATCCACCAGGAATACTTCCACGTAATTCGCATTAGACTCCTGAAAATAAAAAAAAATAAGGAACGCGGAAAATTTACTCTTGGTAATTAAAAATCATATCTCAAAGTAAGAGAGGTGCCAGGACTGTAACAAATAGAGGTATGTGATCTCTGCCTACCCCTCTTTGTTACAGGTTATGTTGTTGTCTTGAATACAATGTAACTCTTTTCATCTGGTGGGTTTAATCAAAATTTTAAACCTCTATAACCAAATTTGAAATTACTATATAATTAGTGTAGACATTTCATTATAAATCTACTCAGAGAGACCACTAAGTAACCAATGACAGATTCACTGCGGAATAGACAAGACATTGCATGATTAGAAAATAATTTACATCACCAATTTTCAATCACTTTTAGGTCTCAAAGTCACATTTATGCCCTGACCAAATCCATATTAAATACTTGATGCCAGATTCTATTCTCTATTTTCTAAAAGTTATTTGAAACTTACCTCATTAAGTCTGATGAAGAGTCCTCGGAAGAACTTGTCTCGCTTGTGGTCATAGCAAGCGCAGTATGTTAGTGTTCTCACATCACATGGATTTAACTCAATGAAGTTTGTCTTATAATATTCACTCATTTCAATTAACAAGCTGAAATAAAGTTATGTTTACATTTTTATGATAGTTTTAAATTCCATTTACAATAAGCAAGATAAGTTTGTCAGACTATGTTTACTTACTTATAGAGTTCGTTATAGTTATCTGTGGTAACCCAGAATGAAACCCCATCAACGCTCAATATTTTTGCAGGATATTCTTGATCTGTTGTCAGTATAGTCTGTGCTGGCAAATTGAAACACTTAAATGGTGAAGGGGCACCTGAAACAAAATTTATGCATTTGTATTTCGTGCAAAATTGTGATCTTGCATATTTTTATAAAAAGTATGAGCTGTTGTCTAAGGATCCGCAAGCGTTTATAAAATTGATAGTAGCCGATTTTTAGACCTATTGAATATGCATATAAATTTTCATTAAAAATTATTCAAGCTGTTTGGGAAGAGTGCGGTAATTAACATTGTAACACAAGTATTTTATATATAAGATTACATAAACAATATTTCAAAGTAGAAAGAGTTTGCTTACTTCAAAATAAGGTATCACATTACAAAATGGCAGTTTCAAATTACACCAACATTTTTTAATTTTAAAAATCGCAAATATAAGTTGTTAGTAGAAAATAAATTTGGATAACAATGGATTACATTTTTTATACAGTGAGGTTGTTTCTCACAAATTGCAAGATATAACTAAATATTAAGTAAAAAGTACTCACCATCAGCAGTATTCTTTAGTTCTTCTACAAGTTCACATTGTACCTCCTTTTCTGTAGTTTCTTTCCTGACATTTATGCTTCCAGAAGAACTAGAAGGGCTAGGACTAGAGAATGCAATGAGAACTTGATCTTGCTGTGATAGTTTTCTACGTAACGGCTTCTCAGTTGGGCACTGATTGGGACATGCATTTGATGTTGAAGGTGTTGGCTCCGTCAACACATCAATAAGATTGTACGGAGTACAAATTCTGGATGGTCTTGCTGGTAAAGCAGTAATGGATGTATCTTGAACAGGAGTTAGCTCAATACTTGTGTTTGACCCTAAGAAATAAATAAATTGAATATTTCTAATAACACAATTTAAAGATTACAAACACAACAATTTGAAGGATTGAAATATATTGAGTTTCAGTCGCTAGGAGAAAATGTTACATAAATTCATAATATCCATATTGTGTATTGGTTTTCGTTATTTAAAGAACTGCACACAATCTTATAAAATTATGATTAAGTTTTCAAAGTAACAATTGACTTACCCAATTTACTCAGGGCTAAATTGAAATCTGTTATTAAATATGTAAATTCATCAAGGTTTTTCATGCAGTTTAAGAATCTTTCTTTTAAATCTGCAGGGTCGCAGTTTAACTGGTGGACAAAATTCTTTGCCTAGAAAATGGAAAAATAATTTTCTTTAGCATATTAAACGCGCCCAAGATGTGTGCTAAATTGAAAACTGTAATATCTGCCTATGAGTTGTTATTTGCAATTTTATTTTCATAATGTAAAATTACTAAAAGATACCCAACAATATTAACTGTTATTAGACTATTTAATCTTATTTAGGGGAACCTATAATGTATTCTGACTGCTAAAAGGAGAATCTCCTTAACTGTAAAGTCTAGATTAAGAATAGCGAAGAAAAATGATATCGATTTTTAGCACTAAGATTTTGAAAGTGCGCATTAAGTCTGCGCGTCTATCTTTGCAAACATTTGTGTAGTTTTAAGTTGAAATAATAGAAGGTAGATACAATAACACATACCTGTGTTTTTAGTTTATTTATATCAGTGATCGCATGATCACATTTTTCGGAAAACACCTTAATCCTGGCTTCCATTTCATTTCGGCGATGTAACGCTATGGTAGCTAAATCTACGAAACTCCTAGAAATAAAAAATAAATGATTTTCGCTAAACCAAAGTCGTTTTAAAATATAATGATAAAAATTAAAAGTGTTACATTTTGAGACTTTTCAACAATATTCACAATGTTAGTAGAATTAATCTATGAACTTTCGAACATACATATGCTTCGATTTTTAACGAAAATTGAAAATGCGACGTTAAGCACAAAAGAATTAAACCCTACGCTTCACTTCACCTTCACCTTCTCTTTATCGACCCATCAACCATAAATAAAATAACATTTTTGACTTTGTCATTCATTTGCTGTTTGGCTGTTTAGCTGACAGCGGCCACTGAATAAAGAGTATATAACTCTATAAACGAACGCTTGTCGATGATTCATTGAAATTGGTGAAATTGATTTAAATGCAATAAAATACATTTAGTCCTATGATAATATTTATTTTTTAGTATTTATAATAAAAATATTAAAGTAATGCTCCATCTCCTACCCATTTCACTTTTTTATTAAAACATTAAGCTTCTCAACGCTAGATGGCATTAATTTCTAAGAAAATAATTTAATTTTTATGCAATTTATTAATAATATATGCAATTTAATCGTTATTTTAACTTCCTTCACTGGAATTTTTGATGCATTTTTGCACATAATATTGTATTAGCATTATTTTTTACAGTACTTATTTCTTATCCATAGTTCTGTTTATTCCAAGAATACGGTTATGCCTTAGAAATTCTTTATCACATAATCACTAGCACACAAATACTACTACTATTGTACTATTGCTAAGAGAAAATAGACACGTAATATTAAGATAATTTAAAGCAACCTGGATAAGCAAGAGACCGGGACATTTTTCTCGCTTATAAGGGGTTTGTCACAATCCTTCAAGTTCTCTTTTGATGTCTATGCTTTAATAAGTTCTCGCGTATCGAAGTTGGACAGTAGTTGAATGGTTCCCCGTCTAGTTACAACGATTAGTTGCGAATTACGCGCGATGTTTCAATTAAAAAGGTCGGCAAACTTAACGAGAGCCGCATAATAAATTCAGGATAACCCACACCGCTCTCTACTAATTGGATTCTGAGGGCAGAGCAGTCAATTAGTGTGAGAGAGATAGATTACCGACAGTTCGTTGCCATGGCAACGTCAGCTACGTACAAAGCCTTACTTATTGAGATGAAATCAAGGATTTATAATTTTATGTCGCCATTTTAATATAATTAATTTTTCAGAATTAGCTGTAAGTGCTACCTGTTAAGTATTTTTAACTTATACTGAATCCGATAACGTATTTCTGTTGTTTATTTTCCTCACATTTTATTTGTAGCCTCAAACATTTGTACTAAGGCGTCATAAATTCTGATTACATTTCAAATTGGATAATGAGTACAAATGGCTTCATCTTCTACAATCTACAATAATAAATACAAATGTTAGCATGTTTATAATAGGATAATGTCGAATGCTTTTGGAGTCGCGAGTTTCGCGCCTTCTGGCGGCCATGTTGGGCGCTAGTGGCGCCGCGCTGCGCCGCGAGCCGTCATTAGGGCCGTGCGAATCGGGCCAGGCGGGGCGTTTAACATAATTTGAGGCAATACCTCGGGACAGATAGTTACCCTGATCGATGCTAATAGCTTTTATTGATATAGCTTAGGTGTTATAGTTTACTATCGCGCAATCCGGCGGTAGTTAGCCGCTGTAAATTACGTTAATGTCGGCCGTTTGACGCTGGCGCGGGGCCATCAAATTGTCGGTTGTTATGCCTTTTGAGTTATTTGATAATGCATAGCCATAAGAGAGCTCATACGGTTATAGATGGCACATCCCGCATGAAAACTACGTTAAATTCTGAAGTTATTTGTTTAATTCTACTTATGTGTAGTCTAAGAGTTTAAAAAACATTAATTAAATAATACACTGACGAATTTAGAACCTCCTTTGTGAAGCCGATTTAAAAGTACATAAACACAGACCGTATTCTTCTTGTAAGAACGTTAAACTTGGGTTAATATAAGATGTGAAATTAAATAATTAAAAAATGTAGAATTATTCGAAAACATATCATAACTTCTATGTATAGGTATCACATCATTTTACTGCTTTTTAATAAGTTGTTATAACGGCATGAGTGTTTAAAGAACGAACATAACAATTCCAAATTCAAATGTAATGAAGCAATTCAAACATGGCGGGAAAACGCGTTCCGTTCTACGCTATTTAATATTTAGATAATTAAAGCGGTCTGTATGTAACTCGAGGGCTAATTTCGAAGCTAATTACGATTACAACTCTGAATCGTAAGCGTTGGTAATACGGAGGCGTCAATTCGACCCTGCGGTGCTGCGTTTACTATCTACTAATAAACAAGTAATCATTGAGAAAGTCAGTTCAATAATCGTGGTTTTCGATGGCCGAAATATCAATACAAAAACATACTGGTATAGGTTTTTGATATATTAAAAGGGATAAGTATCTATCCTGTGGTATACAACATATCAAAATGTATATGATTTTCCAGATGAGGGGATGCATGGGAAGGGAAAATATTTTCTTTCTGTGCATCCCCTTCACCGTCGATTAAAGGTAGGCAACGCATCTGCAATTGCTGTTGTCAATGGGCAACGGTCAATTCGCTATTTCAATGATTTCAAGTGGCCGCTCGCTCGTTTTCCAACTTATGATATAAAAAATGTGATTAAATACGCGTTGATATAATGAAAAGATGATTCTTGTCTAAATTATAACACTTTAATACTTATATTGTGAAAAGTTACATCCAAATATTACACGTAAGTCATTTTCATCTTACGTAAATGATTAAGGACTAAGCATTCAAGTAACTGTTCGTTAAATTCGTGTAAAGGCAGCACGGGCGGCGCGGACTCTATAATTATAACAAACATTGAGCCGTCTCTCGCAGGCTGTAATTAAAACATAGTTAGGAGCAACGAGCGCACGCCTCCGTGGAACAGATTAATGTCTTAATAGAAATGTAACACGTGATTACAAGCATGGAGAATGATTAGTAGATATGTGATTGATGACGTCATTTATATGTCCCGATGCCTTTCTAAATCATATTTTAGAGCACCTTTAAAATCACTGACATCTACAAATAGGTTAATATAATAATACGAGGCACTTTGTGCCTATTTGATTTTCGCCATCTTGCCGCTGATTTAGGGGGGTTAGACAAAGTGCATTCGCTTCGTAGCGATTCCATAACGAACTTAAAAAATGTAAATAACTGACAATAACTTTCGATAAGTCACGTGATAGTCGCGCGTCATAATTTTTTTAAGTTCGCTATGGAATCGCTTCGAAGCGAATGCATTTTGCCTAAGCTCTTTGGTTAGATTGGAATTAATAATAGAGATAGAGTTAACTGTCATGAACGAAGCAAAAGCTATCAGTTACAAGCTAATATCTATCCATTTATGCCGTTCAGTGTTTAGAATTTTTCAGCGTAATTAGGTATATTGCATCATTGCTATATTTCTCGTTTTTAATTTGAACGTTTGTTATGATCAGATCAGCACTGAGGTTGCAATGAAAGGGCTAAAAAGTAGACACTAACAGCCAATGGTCTAATGTTTAAGAGTACGGATATCCGATCACATGATCGTGGGTTTGAGTCCCGCCATTCAACTATTGTGAAGTTACAAGTCTAGAGCTTAATTGTTATGGTTAATTTTATTGGTAAATTTCAAATAATCTCTAATATTCTGTACGTATATTTTTTTTATATCATAAGGTGGCAAACGAGCGATCGGCCACCTGAAATCGCTGAAATAGCGAAGTGACCGTTGCGGATAGACACACGCAACTGTATATGCGTTGCCTACCTTTAATCGACGGTGGATAGGATGCAAGGAAAGAAAATATTTTCCCTTTCAATCTATCCTCTCATCCGGAAAGTCCACTTCCCAACCCTTCCTCACAAGAAAAAGGGTGGGAAGGGAAAGAGGACTAAATTAGGCCTCCGGGACGCACACTCATCAGACGAAACGCGGAATTGCTTCCACTTCACGCCTGTCTTCTCTGTGGTAGTGGTATTTCACCGGACGAGCCGGGCCAATTCGTGCGAAGATGTTATAGCGGGCTCTACCACTGTTAAAGTTAAGTATTAAAATAAAATAAAAGCTCGGCTTTCTTAAAATTACTGAAAAGACATCTTTATAAAGAGGTTACTTTGAGTGATTGAGTAACCACAGATTCACAATAAACTCGCACAATGAAGGTGTAAAAAAGGGTGCCGTGTGGGGGCGGAGCGTGTCTTTATTAACATGTCACTCCGAGAGAGAGGGCGCTATAAACATTTCACATGTGGGAGGGGGAGGCAACACAGGACCGGCTACCATGCGCGCGAGACTCAAACGCCTATTGTCTTACTCTTGATTTGTTAACTCGTTGTCTATGGTTATTGAAGTGAAGATGAGTTGTTTCTGGTTGTTATTATTTTAAGACTGTTGCTTGTTATTACAATAGTTTTTTCAAATACAGAAGCAAGTCATTAAATTCATTTCTGAATGTATATAAAAATTATTAGAATTTTGTTTAATTATATTATAATATATTGAAATATATTTTATATGTGGATGGTATTAGATGTGTGGGGTTCCTAGTGGATTATGTACGTGATTCTACAGATTTTAAAGTGTTTGAAGTTAAATTTTGGATTGTATAATAGTTTAAATTAAACTTATAAAATCACTTAAAAATTAACTTAAGTTTTTTTTTACTTATAAAGTTAGACTGCGGGACATAGGCATGTCTGTGTATCATAGTTACTAGCTCTGAGTATATGATTACACGTCAAATATTGATCTACGACTTATTTATGTTGATGTGACGAATAATTTGTATAGTACATTGAAGTATTTAACAAGGCTCGAGTCGACGCGGGTTGGCGATAAATTGTTGGCCATTACCGCTCTGTCACTGTTGTATCACACACTAAATTAATATGAGAACGCGCTCGAGATTGTCATTTGGAAGAATAAGTCGGGTGACCATGATTGTACCAAACCAAGGAACGAACGGAAAAATAAGTAAATTACATTCATTTTTCTTAAAGTATCCGTAGTCTCTGTCTAGCTCTCATAAATAGTTTCAGTGTGATGGAAGGTCGAAATACTTTATTAAATACAAAACTCAATATTTGTAAATAATATATTTAAAAAATACTAAAATCTAAGACAAAGTCCTTATTTTTGGTTGTTGTACTTGACCACAAACAACTTCGCATAACTATTAACAACTCTGATGGTCACATTTTATAAA